TCTCTCTTGATGTTTACAGACACAGCTGCCTGTCACGGTCATCCTCTTCAACTGTCATTAGACTACAAATGACGAACTAACAAGTTGTAGGAGCTGTGGCCCCAAATATCTATGTGAAAAGTGGTCTCAGTCAGAATTTCTGCATTCTCAGGGGCAACAGCAACTTGTCAGTTCATTCTTTACTGCAGAGACATCGCTTTGAGTCACTCCACTGTAGATTTACAATGATTGACACAACCGCTTTGAACAACAGGGACTGATTCACACCCTTGCCCAGAATAATTCCGCCTCTTCCATTTTCCTCTTTCACATCTGGATAAAATGTTCCCATTACTTTTAATATGTGTCACTGGATAGATTTCATAGGAAAGACTGTTTTCATGTTTCTTCCAGTTCTTACTTTATTTGCTTACTTGGCCTGGTTCTTATGTTTGTTGTGTGGTCTTTTCGCTTTTCAAGTAATTTATCTTTCCTTTAGATTTGTGTGGCAATAGCACGAAGGGTCTCTCTTTTGAATAGGGTACATGAACCCTCTTGTGAAACATGACCAATTGTGATAGTCACAACAAAACCCCCCAGAAATATGATGGACAGAGACCCTGGCAAGTCTGTAGAGATCTGGAGTTCAGCACTGACCTCTTCCACATCCAGTTTCTATTACTGAAACAAATATGTACATCAGTAGAGAAAGATATAAATGCAGCCATTGTAAATTACTTTTGAAACAGCCTAGCAATTTGGATAGTTTAAATAATCAGCTGCGCTGAAGACTACTTGGGGATGAAATTTAACTTTTTAAAATACAGTTGTCATTAAACACTTTGATATATACTGTGATTTAGAAATAAGCTGTCCATTTAACCATTGGTTGCAAAATGTTCATGCCTATGTTACTGCCGTGTGTTCAGGAACTGTGAAGAAACAACCAAGATCTTTCTGCTTGGGAAAAATGTTTGGACGTGATTCGAAATCCATACTAACTTCTTCAGAATTCTCCATTTCCTATTTTGTTAAAAGTGAAATATTGATGGCAAACCAATTCCTGCTTCATCTGTAGATGATAAAGCTTTGTGGGGAGGAAATCTATCTACTAATATAGCAGTATGTACCCCAGGAGGGAAAGAAACTTTAAGAGACACAAATTTCTTCAATATTTGAGATTTTTATTCCCAACAAATGTTTAAGTATTTTTTTTTTAATGCCGTCATTAGTATAAACTATAGATATGCTGTGTTGCTCTAAAAATGGAAAAATAAAGAGGATAAAATAAAAGCATGGAAAAACGCAGGAGGGTGAATGATTCCTAGCAGGAACTCAGGAATCTAATGTACCTGGCACATTGCTTTGAAAATTGGGCAAAATGAAGTCAGGAAATATCTTCTGAAGTAACAAGAGACCACATCAGTCTGTTTGGCCAGGGTCTGAAACACAACTGGTGGCATAATTTTGTTCAAAACTAGTAGGCACGTGTGAGATGGTTATAGCTGCAAAAATGTAAAGTATGGACAGTCTGTTTCATATTGGTTTTGCATCCTATGCGCAGTGATTCACTTGCCTAGATTTTGGCCAAAATATCAGCAATATCAGAAAGAAAAACTGAGAATGATCCTGCTCAAGAGAGAGACTGATCCTGTTCAAGAGAGAGAAGCTACTTTAAGAGTATATTAAAAGAAAGTTTAGCACTTGTTTTCTTATGTGCAAATGATTAAAATCTACAGTTCTTTCTTTATCTACCTCTCCACCAGAGTAGTTTAGACTATAAATCTAATGAAGTGGCAATAAACTGGAAGAACAACTGTTGTTACTAGAAAATGATATGGTGGAATCAAATGAAGCATGTGGATGAGGAATTACCACCACATCATGCCACAAATGTATGGAGAAAAAGTAAAAAGGCAACTAAACCTGTTCTCATCTTCTTTTCACAAGAAGCATGTCTTAATAACTGGCAAACACTGTCCTTTAAAGATAGTTCTTATGATATGAGAACACACAGCCTGTAATTGCAAGTGCCCCTTATTTGTACAGTAACCAGTGATACATATGTAGATGGTTAGGTTCTTTTTTATGTTGTTGAACAGTCTCGCCCAAAACAAAAGCAATATTAAGATTCATTAAACAGCATAAAGTAGTAAAGAGATATGAGAGTTCAGTTTGGGACAATACTAATCTAGTCTTCGTGCATTATTGGCTATCACAGTACTCTCAACTTACATGTGAGAACGCTACCATGCCACACATATAACAGCACCGGTCAGTGCTGTTTTACATTTTTTTTAACCAACCATTATATACATGGAGCATCAAAGCTTTTTTCTTGAAGTGCCTGAACGGTTTATCTCAACAGATTTCCATGCTTTTCTTAAACATTTCTTAACCAAAAGATCCTCAAAGGAAGCAGTTTAATGCAAACTCTCAATATGTCACATTTTGGCAGTGATTGCTTAATGCAGCAGTGCACTAATGAATTGCTCCACTGCATTCTCTGATCATGAATATGAATCGGAGTACTATAAACTGAACTCAATGTACTGATAAGTGACTGTATCTGATTGTGCCAGCAGCCAGATGATTTTCTCATTAATGAACTGAACTATTAAAAGATGGAGGAATATGAAGCCAAGCCAGCTTTGCAATGTCTGATATTCTTTGCTGACATTTTTCCAGAATTGTCAGAAAACTTTGTCAACTAGTAAAAGAAAGCAAATTAAAAGAAATGTATCAAGGAAGCAGTGAAGACAAATTAAGCTCCAAGGTCCAAATTCTGTTTCTGATGACAAGAGTGTGACTCCTTTATGTTTGTAGAATTTCTGCTTCAATACCCAAATTTTATAGTTAAGGAGTTATGTATTTTCTCTGCTTTTTGGTTTCTGCTTTTCTGAATACAGGATCCTATGGCTGTCCATAAGAGTCAAAGCTTCTCATCCTCCTAACACTACTCTATGCAGCACGTATGGAATTCATTAAATTGAGGACCACTGACTTATCTAGTACATGTTGCAAACACATGTTTTGGAATGCCAGTAATCTCTTGGAAATATTTTTGAAATTTGATTTTTTTTTTTCTCAGAGCTTTGTACAGTGTTAAGCATTGGTATGTCAAACTGTGCTGTTGTTCACAAGCATCATTATTTTACTTTGCAGTTAAAATGTGGTCACAGCTCAGCTGAACACAACCTTCACTATAAATCCAGAATGAAGGACCTAGATCACTCACAGTGCTCCTACATCAGACCTCTTTCGTACAATTTGAAGTGTGGCTTATTTTAAACAACAACTAAATGCCCTTTTGCTTGAAAGCTTCAGTATCAAATTTGGACCAGAAAATTGTTTACAGAGTAAATCAAAATGTTGTCAACACTACTATTGTAATTCTGCCTCTAGAGGGCATTACAAGCTAAATGTTTTCTATGAGAGTGTTGAGAGCATCTTGGATCAGCCCAGAAGACAGCCCTTAGATTGCTTAAATTAAGAATTTCTGTGTTAATGACATCATTCATGTAGGACTCAAACAAAATTATTGGGCAGCAACACCAAAAGATCTTTAATCCACAGGATAACAGCAGATAGATTCTTTAAGAAGAAATGTTACCAGACATTTCAAGTATCCCAGAAAATTCTCATGACATGAGATCCTGTGAGCAACTTGTAGCAGAAAAATATTCCATTTTAATGACTTTGCCTGAATCCTTTTTATAAGTGCAGCGATCCCCACTAGTGGTTAAACCCAAAGATTATTAGCATAAATAGTTTGAATCTTTAATACGTGGAATGTAGGCCAGTGTATGTGGTACAGGAATAAATAAAATTATTGTTTGACTCTGTCAAGATCTATGACGTATTTAAGGTGAACAAGTAGCACTGAGTGTCAAAGTATTAAGTTAGAATCTTTTTATGCATTAGACAAGTGGCATAGTAACAATCTGCTAGCAAGATTCTATTACAGGTTCTTCCCAGTATCTGCTGCTTCCTGAAGATATTTGATAAGCCTCTTTAGCCATGCAATACGAAAATGCCCAACAGTGGATTGGGAGTGGATTCAATCAGTGAAAATGGCAACAAAACATTTGTGTTTCCACATCTGAGAAGCAAGGATGATGCATTTCTAGCTTCATGCTGAAGATGAGGCAATTAGAGTTGGTTGGGGTTTTTTTGTATTTTTTTTCCTTCTTTCCTTTTTTTTTTTTTTTTTCCTTAAGGACTTACAAATTATAGTCATCTACTTCCCTGGCATTGCAGTGATTCTTTTGATTTTTGGATACTGCTGTGAGTAGTCTGTCAATTATCATATCCCATTGGATTTCTAGGGAATTATATATCTTTCGGATTCACGAGTTCACTTCAGATTTTCAGTTTCTTTCCCTGTGCCTCTATCTATAGCCATCCTATGTTTGTAAGACTGAACTGTGAGAAGAGGTTGCAACATGCCCCATAAAACAGAAAAATTTCCTCTAAAGTACAGTGACAGAGGGAGGAAGTTAGGAAGGGAAGGAAGGAGGGAGAAATGCTTATCTATCAATAAAAGTGAACAGTGTAAAGAGGCTTGTGAGAAGTACCTAGTTAATTAGAAACTAATTTTATTTTTTTTTTGCCTTTTGTGTTGTTTCGCTTTTTCACTTGTTTCATTGTTTGTTAAGAGGAAGCAAATATATTTATTTATGCACCTATACTTCTTGGGTTATATATATATATATATGCATTAGTCAGACAATTAAAATAAACACAAAGGTTTCAGCCTTCATTTGTGCTGCAGACCCTTTGTTATGGAGCACTACTGCTATTCCAGTGCTCATCTGCATGGCAAGCTTTGTTTTGTCCTGGGGTCAGAGATACTGAAAGGAAGAAAGAGAAAGAAAGACTAATCTGATAAAGGCATTGCCATTTCTAATCGAACTGATGGGAAACTGTGGTATGGAGTTAAAAAGGTAACACAGGGTGAATTTCTCTGAAGTGATGAACTACCTTAAAGCTGAAGCAATCAAATAGATAGCTCTCATATCTAAAAATTACTGTGGCATCTTTATTTATCAACAGTTTTGCAAAAATGTATCATGCTCAATCCCCTCTATAAACGACTAAAGCACTCTGAATACATTTGATGAGATTAAATCTTAATGGGGAGACTCACCCACTGAGGTGTCTCCTTCTCACTTTTCAGAATGAATTTCACATTTCCATGTAGAACAAGAAACTTTTCAAACCTTGAAAATCACAAATTCCAAAAAGTAGCAACACTACAGCCAATACTGAAACTCATAACCTACTGCAGTGGAACTGAAAGAGCTTTCACTCTTGCGTAGCTCTAGAACTTTTCCACAGTGGCAAACAGCTGAAATCTTATGGAAGTGAAATTTGTGAATCCTAGTTCAGAAAGTGCTCGGACATGTTTACATAAATCTACATCCTATAGAGTTTTCCTGAACACTTGGAGAGGACAAGAAAATAATAAAACAAAATTCAGTAATAAAAAGCCTATCACTGAATATCTGATTCAAACACTATAATCAAATAGTATCTGATAAAATACTACTTGATTCAAACACATTCAAATGAACTGAAGAGAGAGTGTGGTAACTGAAAACTCCTGTAAAAACTCACTTGTGCACTTTGAATTTATGATCTGGTCTTGACAAAATGCTGAACTTCTTGGAGTCTTTAGAAATTAATGAGCTTTGAAGATATTCAACTTTTTGCAGTTGAATTGCATGCTAGAAAACACAGCAGTCTAATTCCAGTTTTGAGATCACATATGTTCTTTGATAGACATCACACAAATACGTTACTATGTAAAATGCTGCTTAACACAGGACATTGACAAAGAAAATTAAGTAGATATAGAAAAAGTGATTTAAGAATAAGGTATATTTGGAGCTGACAGAACTTTCATTATTCAACAGTAAAGTTATATCACCCACAGAGGACTTAAAATATTTTAAAATAGCATCTTATATTTAAACAGCCTACCTAATTCCACTGTCCCTCTGAAAAGATGGATTTCAAAAAGGATGTAGATTAATAGAGAAAATGATGAAGAACAATGATGAAACGAGTAAATCTGTAGTTGAAAGAAAAAAAAATAGTCTTAACTTTTTTTTATTTTAACTTTTCTTAATTTTTCACTTTTTTAGAGCTAGCTTCACTTGCAAACCCCTAATAAGTGTGTTTTGGAATCTTTTACTTGATTTCTCTAGTTTTGTATTATAAATAATTTGCATTTAAATAAAAGCATGTTCAGAAATAGTTTCTAAGTGTCATTCAATTTTCCTAAGATAATACTGACTTCTTTTTCAAAAGCTCGCACAAAAAAACCCCCACCTTTGATTAATGTTGAAAGCTGTATTGCTTAAATATCAAGCAAAATCAATTAACAGTATTTGAGACATAGTATACATAACAAAAAGGTAATTTATGGGACATTCAGTCAACATACTGCTGTGCATTTGCTGTATTACATTTATTGATTACTTATCAAGTGTCTTACATTGCATAGTTTACAGAATGATTACACTATTTGTCCAGCTTTTGAGTAAGTTTTTCCAAATTTCTCGAAGAGAACAATCGATGGTAACACAGTTTGAAAGTCCTAAAGAAATAAGAGAGAGACAAAAAGGAATGTTAAATTTAGTTTCCATGTCTATACCTTTTACTTCTCACAGTATTTAGAATACTAAATATTCTCTTCTAGTTAAATTTATTTACATAAATTAGAATATGAATTACAAAAAATGATGTGCATACAAAATGCACATTTTAATATAACATGCACGTTAGTTTGGAGAAGAAAACAATAATCTGTTGATACAGTTGTGAGAAAATATGTATTTAAAATATAGTTCTGTGTAACAATAGGTATTGCAAAGATTTCCAGGCTCACAAGACAGATTTTACTGTCGTTTATGACTCATGGTTTACAAAATTCTATTCTCCTCTGTGGGAAGCAGGTAAGATAAAGAGAGCAGGTTATTTTTTGCCATTTTTAAACTTTTTTTTATCTTGTTTAAACTTAGAATATGGATATAAAATCAGCTGCATGAGAGAGAATAAAAAAATGATGTGTATTATACAAATATTAGTGTTATCAAATTAACCAGTAAATTGACTACGGAATTGTGGCAAAGAATACAAGCAGGATGATTTTTGAGCACTTTTTTTTCCAGGAAAATTTTTCATTCTTGCACTGAATTTTTTAAAATGCAAATGTTTACAAATCCACATTGAATAAGAGAAGTGAAAGTGAACCTTGCAGTAAAATAAAAACACAACTGACAAAAAAGAAAGCCAAATAAACTAGGTATTCTAAACATTATTCTGATTGAGCTACTTACTAATTAACACCTGTAACAAGACCACACATTTAGTATCATCAGAAATACTAAGAATATTATCAGCCATGGCAAATACTTGTTTGTTAAAATCTTTTTTCTTTTCAGGCAGTAACATGCCAAAGAGGAGTTATCTGCTTCCCAGGCTCTAATGGTTAACTTCGAAGAGAAAACTTTTCACTGTAAAAACAGTGTTCGTGAAAAGCTTTTATAGAAATGCAATGAGTCTTCACAAACAGTCTGTGGACAAGCCAAAATGTACAGCTTCACAACACATTTTGCAATTTGAAAGGTTTGGTTTTCTCTCAAAAACAAAACAATAACATTTGTTTTCTGAAAGGTGATGTGAAGTAGAATTATAATTTCTGGGATAATTTATATTTACTTCACAGCCCACAGTTCAGTTGAATCTCCATAAGTAGGCAAAGCAACTATGACTTCTGGTAAGTTCTATGCTAGCTTGGAGCACCTAAGTTTCACCTCCTGCACTTCATACTTCCACACCATGGCCACATCTTTTCTTACATCAGATAATTAAATTTATTTGGTATGATTCCTTCAACACTCTAGAGCATAAATCTTAAAGCAGAAAGGTAGATATGTACATTCAAAATGAAATACTTCCTCTGTGATATCATTTAATGAATTGCAACTCCCAGCTTCTTACCCAACAGAAACTGCCTATTAGCATATTTTCATATTTTCATATATTACAATTAAGAATGGCACAGAATTTCATTGTGTGTTTGGCATCACAAGCACCTTCATAATGCAGGAAAAAATTGTCCATTCAGACAATTCAGAGCAGACTAGACTATCCTTTCTTTTGAAAATGGGAAACAGTCCTATTTACGTTCAGGAGAGTTAAGCTCTGGCTTAACAATTTGGGAAGGAAAAAAAAAGCAGAGAAATTGGGGTGAGACAGGGAAACTGGTGTACACCCCCTACATCAGGATAAAATCAGGAATGGTGACTCTGAGCACTGAAGAAGTCTTCAATTGCTGGAGCAGACGGCTTTTGCTATTAGGATGCCTGGCCAAACAAAAACAATTGGCTGCCAAAATTAGCTCCTTGGGACGATTTAGGAGCCTTTGAAGTGAACAGTTTTTTGAGCTGGAACTAAGCCCAGGTCCAGCTTCAAACTCAAATCAAGATGACAAAGAGGAAATTTTCTGTGCCACACGCCCCCACAGTGTAAGATTACTTTGGGTTGGCAGCTGCACTGTTTATCTTGTTATTTAAAGCTATCTCACTAGATACTCACAACTGAGCATTTAAACAACTGGCTCTGATTATGACGACAGCAGTTATGGATTTTTGGGAAACATCACACAGTCTGACGGATAACGGAATTATTACTGGCCTTACAATTTGACTAATTTAAGAAGTTTATAATGAATGCTAAATGAGTGTTGCACAAAATGCACATAAAATATGAATATATTTTGAGGAAAAGACACGCAGTCATTTCTATATTTAAAGAGACAACTTTTAATCAGTTTTTAACAGTGTAAAAAAGGCTTGATCTACTTCTTCGCACTGACTTGAGCCTATCCTACTATATCATTGTAGCTGATTCCCACAGAGTACTGAATTTACACAGTTACGTAAAAAACAATTTTGAATTATTTTTATTGCTTTGCAAGAACGAAAGTTGGGAGTGCAGAAAAACACACTCTCCCAATATTATTTTTATCCTGTCATTGATGGTAGCAGGAATAAATTAGCTTATGAATGCAAACTCCCATGTACTGGTGAAACAGAGTTTTGCTGCTTTAAGATCTTAGAAGACAGATCTGAGTTTTCTTCATTTATTACTTTTTTTCAACAATGCATTTTTACAGTGCAATACAATTCCTGGAATTGGAGATCTGTAATTTGAAAGACATGAGATCTATTTTTAAATTCCCAAGCCAAGTTAATATAACACCTCCTTTTTAAACTTGTCAAGCTTCGATTTCTTTCACTCTAGTAAATTTTAAGTGACTCAATCCAAATGGTGGAGCTTAACAAGACCTATGAATTCTTTCAATATATTTGACTACTTAACTGTCCTGTGCACTCATCAGTTCCAAACAATTAAGATAAAAAGGTGACATAAAGCCACCAAATAAAGATTTGTGTCAATTAGCACACTCTGATGCCATAGATTAGATCTGCCAAATCCTCACATAGTTCATCTTTGGAAAATTATTATTAAAGTAGATTCTAAAGGAAATTCACATCTGTGTACATAGGCATACATAAATATAAAGACAGATTACAAACAATGGGCAAACAAGCAAAAGCTTGCAGAGCTACAAGTGGATGCATGTATATCAGCTTAAAGGCCTTCAAAAATGTGTTGCCGCATATTTCTAGCGCTAAATTTGTACTAACAATGTATTTTTCCAAACAATCTTGAGTGCACTGTACAATTTCCTATAAAATAAATATGCACTTTGGATAGAGCTAGGAAATACATTCAAGCTGGGAAATTTAATGAAGTGGAAAGTCAATCACTTCAGTCCAAAATAGGCAAACAGCAGCAGCATGTCCACTCACAGATTTAAAGGCCAGAAAGTACCATTGCAACAATTTATTTTTAGCTCCTGGATATACATTTCAGGTTACTTCCTACAGCAAATCTATCAAGTCCATAACAATTAAGAAGCTAATAAGCACATGATCAGCTTGGAACAATTCACTTACTTACACTGAACTTTGATTTCTGCTTAACAGCATTCCATAGTCTGTCTTTCTCTGCAAAGACAGCAATTCATTTTGTTGTCTATTTTGCCATTTTGGGCCTCTCACTACAAGAAAGATATTGAGTTACTTGAGCACTTACAGAGAAGAAAAACACTTTCCAGTGAAGGTACTGGAAACCTAGGCTTATGAGGAGAGGATGAAGGAACTGCAATTGTTTACCTTGGAGAAGAGGTTCAAGGGATACCACATAGCTTTCTACATCTTCTTGAAAAGAGGTGATAGAACGTGAGGCAACAGCCTTAAGTTGCAACAGGGAAGGATTAGATCAGATAATTCTAAACAGAAAGGATGGTTATGCATTGGAATGGGCTGTCCAGGGAAGTGGTAGAGTTCACATCCCTTAAAAATACGGATTTGTGGATGTAGTGTTTAGGGATGTCATTTAATGGTGGACTTCACAGAGTTAGGTGATCCGGGGACTAGATGATCTTGAAGATTTTTCCCAATGCAGATAAGTCCATGATTACATAAAAAGAGATTTTGCTACATAAATAAAGTTATTGAATACAGTTGTATGAATGCAGATTTTCTTTCTGCATGAGAAGTAGCATGTGAAACTATTTCAAAGATAAATCAAATATTCTCCCAAATAATCACGTACCCTCTTCCTACAGCACTGATTCAGAGCTCCAAGTCCTCTTTTGAGCAAGTTTAAAAATGCGGAAGACACAGTATGATTGCATGATGTCAACAAGATTCCATGTGCTATGCAATTTTTAACCAATCACTGCAAGGCTTGGATGTTAAAATCTTTTTCTTTTCTGTGCTAGAATACCTGTTGCTCTTATTGAGAGCTATGGCTGCAGAAAACGTCAGTTAGGAGTCAATGGCAGAAGCAATAACTGAAAAGTTGCTAGAATACTAGTTCTGTGTTCATGTGTACTTTGCTACTGATTAATAAAAACAGAGAACAAATGCCACTTCTCTTTTGCTTGAAATCAGTACCTACAGAAAAATAGCATGATTTTAGAGAATGCAGTGAGAAATTCTGTATAAAAATCCATGCCATAGTTCCTCACTAGACAGTAAGCACACTGTGCAATCTTTCTTTTTCCACAAAGGTGAGATACATGTGTCTCATTTGAAAATCAGTCAGCACTGCCAAGAGCCACTGCACAGCCATAGTCCACAACCCCTGTCTGTTTAAAAAACTGTGGTCATATTTAAGTATTCCCTATGATCATAATGCTTGTAATAGTAAAATTAGAGTTTTAAATTGAACAGTCATTGTAAACCTCCTGACCTATTAATCGCCACAGAGGTCTCTAACAAGAAAGAAAACCAGAAATGGCAAGTTGTTACTCAAGTGAAACGTTGATCCAGATAACTTTTATTCTTAGCAAATTTATCAATACTGGTTAACAATACTTCCAACTAGTATGGGGCCTTCTGACATGACAAAATGAGTGTAACAACCCATTCTGTCAATACAACAGAAATGTCATTTCAAGTGCTCAAAACCCACTAAGCTACCCTAAAAAAGATTGATTTATCTGCTCAAGTGTTTCTT